TGGAAGGTGACAGACCCTCATTCAGTCCTGGGATCCATGTGAATAGGAGTCTTTTCAGGAAGTTCTGCCTGCCTCCTTCCCAGCAGATTCTCCACACCTTCCCTTTTCCTCTGATAAGTCAATGTCCCTGGACCTTGAAGAGAACTACCCCTTCTGTGACCCATAGAACCAGTAACCCTTGAGGAAACAGAATGAGTGCCCAAAGGTGGACTTTTGTCACTTGTGCTCAACATGGATGCACAAAGTCCAGATTCACTGTCCCAGACAAAACAAGTTTAAAAAGAGGACAAAATATTTGACACATCTGTATTTAGATATTTAGATCCTTGAAAAAGAAGCAGGACCAGCTCATTTCCCAGATGGGGAGTTTCCAATATACAGAGCTTGTGGGGACATGGGGGGGTTCAGCATTGTCCCAGTGTAGAAAGGACAGAGTCGGGTATATAAGGAGACATGGCAGCTTGAGGTCATCGTGCAGAGAACTAGAGAGTGGCAATGTGCAGAACCTCCCCCAACCCCCCATCTTGGGCTGAGCTGGGTGGGTGCATAGTAGGAAGTGAGAACTGGGGTTCAGGCAAATTCTGACTCTGCCCCTCTTCATCACATGGCTTCCTAGACATCCAAGAATGCCTCTGTCATCCACCTGATGCACAGAAACACGTAGAGAAATGTTCCCTGGACGTTGGACATGTGGTCTCTCTGTCACCAATTGTCACTTTCACTCTCTCAGCAAGGATTCAGATAATTTAGATGGCAATGGCACACAGTGTCAGACAGCACAGCTGAATTATCTGTGTGGTTGACTACAAAGAACGGCTGTTAACTCCAAGGCTTTGGTTCTGTTTTTTTAATATATATATATAGATAGATAGATAGATAGATAGACACAATCCCTTTAGTTTATTTATGAGGCATCCAGTGCCTCATACATGCTAGGGAAGCACTCTACCACTGAGCTACAACTGCAGCCCCTGATTTTTAGTATAGGAAAGTAGTGGGGGAGTTCAAGGACTTTCATAATAGCATATATAAAGACATGGGGTGGCATATGAAAGAAAATACTTAAATTCTCCACCTAAGCATGCTCTATGCCTCTGCTAAAACAGTGTATATTTTCCAGCTGTAGATATGAATACATTGATAGCCAATATCACCTTCATGAACTTTAACACAGAATAATCCATTTCCAGGGTGAGATGTGGAGAAAGTCCTCTTCTCTCTCTGGTGCAACAAGTACCTAGGTTGGAGATGGTGGTCATTTCATCAGCCCATGTTTCTCAAGGACCCAGTGACAAACTGTCTGCACGTCTACTGAGGATGTAGGGTACACACAGTATACTTTTCTTGTTTGAAGGCATTAAGATTTCTGAGATGTTGTCATTGCACAATCTAGTGCATTGTTACATGTGACAAAATACCTGAAATAATCCACTCTTAAAAAGGAAAGGTTTATTTTGATTCACGGTCTTGGAGATTTCAATCCACCCTTGCTCGGTCCTGTTGCTTAGGGCATGATGGCTGCAGCATGTGGCATAGAGGTTCTATTTACCTCATGGCAGCCAGGGAGGAAAGAGAGAGAAACAGGAAGGGACCAGTGTCCCAATATGCCCTCAAGAGCATGCTAACTCTTATAATAAATTAGGCCCCATGTCCTACAGTTCCCACCACCTCCTACTAGCATGACAAGTTGGGGACCAAGCCTTCAGTGATGGGCCTTTCAGGGACACTGCGGATCCAAACCACTGTACCTAGTGCATCATGATTTTAGATCTATACCAGAAATTCAAAAGGTTTTTATATGCAAAATTTCTGGGTTTTAATTTAAAGTGTTGACTGTCATTCAGCACAAATTAATTTGCTGAGATTGGCTAGAACATATCTGTTCTTGAGGAGGGATTCATGAAAAACAATACTGTACTATGCAGATGGCCAAAATGAGCCATGTCAGAAATGGTCCTGTTTTCACCTTGTATTTTTCGTGGGATGAGCTTTGAGGACCTCGTGTCTGTGACTGTGCCTGTGTGCTGTCTCTCTCATTCAGGATGAGTTTTTCCAGGTGTGGAAATATTTTGTTTAGTCTAACAAGTGACTTGTCACTTCTCTTGAGTCCAGCTTTTAAAAGCATAAAGATGAAGTGGTGGAATTATATCTTCTGTTCCTCTTTGGAAAGTGGTGAGAGAGCTATGGTTAGGAAAAGCAGATGACTACAGGAAAATAAATTCTGCAGAGGTAATAGATTATAACCCATCCAATTCCCCATTGTTTGATCTTTACTTAAACCTAAATAAATGTTGTCTTTTTCCCGCATGAGACAAGTCCAATCAAGTTTTGAATTCAGGTTTAAGAGTCTGGATAACAGAAACTTGGATACTTTTCACAAATTCATGCAAAATCATTTGGATAAATACTAGTTTTGATCAAGAGATACAGACTTATGATACAGCATTATGATCTTATTAGTGGTTTCCTTTGAAGAGAATTTGGCAAAGTATGAAAGATTATCTGAAATATAAATATTAAGAGTATTTATCTTTAAATGTGGAGTCATATCAAAGATGGATGCGGACAGATATTAGGTGATAGAAATAAATTTTAAAAAGCTATGAAGAACCATAAAGGTGCTAGTCCATTAATCTCTCACCAACAGAACTGTGCATGTTTATGTCACAAGATAGAGTTCAAGCCTGTGAATTGAAAGAGATTATTTACCAACTTGCTTGGAAAAATAGATTTTATGTTAGAAAAAAATTTAAAGTTAAAATTTAGTGTAAAAACAATAGGGAATAGATTCAGTATCTCAGAGTGGACAACTTCTTTGTGAGGAGGGGACAAAATCAATGCAGGATACAAACTAAAAGCACCATGAGAAGCCACATCACACATACGAGATGGCTAAAACAAAACAGATGATATCAAATGCTGACAAGAATGTGGAGAAACCGGAACTCCCTTAACACTGTGGTGAGAATGTAAAATGGTGGGAAACAGTTTCCTGGCTCCTGGACACAACTCTCCCTGTGATCCAGCAATTCCACTCCTGCATACATACCTCAGAGTACTCCAACAAGGATCTGTACACACATGGTCACAGCCGCATGATTCACCACAGCCAAGGAGGGGAGACCACACCAATGTCCATCAGTGGGTGAATGTGTAAACAAAATATGTTTTATTCACATGAAGGAATATTTTTGGTCTAAAGAAGAAATGAAGTGCTGGATGTGCTGATGCATACATATACATTCCTTATGTTTTTATTGCCTCTCACTTGCCAATTCACCCTCTTTGCTTGCTCTGTGAGAGTTGGTGCTTATAAGTTTCTCTGCTTTGTCAATCCTAGCTCTGTTAAATCTTGGGTTGAAAGGATACTGGAAGAGATATGGAGTTTTGATTTCAAACTTAGTTCCCCTCTTTTTAGACAAGGGAACTGGGCTCAGAATGTTGCCCGAGTCACACACACAGCAATAAGTCACGGCTGGAGCTGAAGCTTGGGTCTGCTGCTGGGGTCCCCAAATTCATCTGCTAAGCAGCTCCCTTCCATGTGGCCCCTCCCCACTTCCTCTTAGGTGAGAGCACACATCTGGAAACCATCATTCCAGAGCTTGGTTTTCTTTTCTGGTTCCTCACCCTGATCTCTCGCTCCATCTTGGTTCCCAACTGGCTTATCCCATCCAGGTCCTTTTTCCAGCTCCTGGCAAGGATTTTTGTTTCCATGGCATCTGACACACCTGCATTGGTGTGCAGAGGGCAGGTGAGCTCTCTTGGCTCAAGCAGGCACTGGAGTGGGGTCAGAGGCTTGACCCACCCATCCAGCTACTGAGCCTGGAGAGGTTGACACCAGTCATAACCTACCAACAACCTACAACTGTGAGTCTCTAATGTCAAACAAGTAAAGTAAATCACAGAAAAAAGCCTCCCCGGTTTGCCCAACACCATACAGACAAAAAACTTGCTGGTCTTGAGGTGTGTGGGGGGGTATTTTTTGTCCTATCTTAAGAGCATGTCCCTTTCAGTGTGCTTGCTAATATTATTTCACATTTTAATTTTCTTCTAAAACCCCTTTGGAGCAGAATCGATTATCATATAAATTCTTGTCTTCTCTAGGTTTTTCATGAGAATGTATTTTTATATTAAAATACAGTGTGGCATTATCCTGTGTGCGTTCTTGTTGGTTAGTACAGTTACTTGACCATTTTCTTGGATATTGTTAATTTCTTATTTATATATTTTTTTAGATATAGATGGACACAATACCTTTATTTTACTTATTTTTATGTGGTGCTGAGGATCGAACCCAGTGCCTCACACATGTGAGTCAAGTGTTCTACCACTGAGCTACAGCCCCAGCCCAGATATTGTTAATTTCACTGAATTAAAAAAAAATGATTGGGCTGGTGGGGGTGTGCTCACTGGTGGACTGCTGGTCTAGCTGGGTTTCATTTAGAGCACTAAAAATCAGAAAATTAATTACTAAATAATGAATAAAAGATTAAATATAGCATGTTGCCAATTGGTAGAGACCTTTTTTTTCTCTCCATTTTTTTTTACAGAATTTCCTTGAGGAAATCAGTGATCAAAATATTTCTTTGTCCCTAAAAAGTGAAATAAGCTTCTTGCCTGCATTCCAGCTGGTAATGTGTTTCTGAAAGCCCTGAGGGTCATCTCTCTGAAATGGGTTGTCTCCCTCAAAGTCCTCCCTGTTTCTGCTTCTAGTTTCTATCTATTGTTTTCCTGTATGAATAGCAGCAACTGAGGATTCATTTTCAGAATTAAGAAATTTGGTCAATTAACAAGAACTCTGTTAATCAACAGTGTCATTTGACAGCAAAGAAGCAGTACAGACTGACATGATCACATGTGTCACGAAGGTGAGAAGGTGTTTATCTTTGCTCAGTTTCCCCAAGAACGTGCTGTGCTGTGCTCTTCAAAATCACGAAGCACACTTGTTCTCCTAAAATACATACCCTCTTTAAAATGAAGGACAAATGTGTCAAGGCATGTTGAAAAAGGACAGTTCATTGTTCACAATCAAATAATGAAGACTAAACATCAAATGAAACTTTATAAGTACAACAATTCCGGGTACTACAACTGAACTAAAATATAATAGATATATAAATGAAAACGATAACAAGAGAAAATCTCTATCAAAAAGTAAAAATACTTGGGTACATATAACAGATAAAACACCCATCATATAACTGATTAGGAACAATATGTTTTCAAAGCAATAACTATCTTAAAATTATTTAAAATCAATAGAGTAATAATCCAGTAGCCAATATATTCAAAATAAACCAATAAAATGCGAAATATGAAGCAAAAGTATAACAATACTATGGTTCTAATTTCTTGTTTAAAAGTAATTCCCTCTCCACCAGAACCCCTGCATGCCATCTTCAAATGGTCCTAGACTGTAGTAACTACATATAAAAAGTAGGACTCTGACATTTTACCTCAAGGATGATTTGTATTCAATACTCTAAAATGTAGGGAGTGACTCAGGAAACCATGGAACCAGAAGAAACCAGTTTCTCATCATTCCCAGGGGAAGTATCTCCCCTACCCCCAGCTCCCAGGATTACAATTCGAGCAAATATGCAGCTGTTCTAGAAGAGTCTTGGTTCTTCTGGACAATCTATACAGAGGTTCTTCTCTTCCTTTCTCATGACTCTCTGTGTCCCCATAGACATCCTGCTGAAAATGTGTCTCCCCCAGTGATCTGGAAGGAAGAAGAAGTTGTTAGACTTCGTGGACCCAGTTCTGTAGACATGAAGGTGAGTTACACACTGAGCCAGTCCTAACTAGAGTTTAGACCAACTTACAAACCTTTATCTCTGATCCTCCATTCTTGACACCAGCTCTGAACCATCTTTTTAATTTTGGTTCTCATACTTTACTGACCCCAACTCTAAAAGGTGTTTCATATGTTTCATATGGTCAGGCCCAGAGTTCTGCTTCATTGCAAAGACTTGAGTTGATTCTGCTGGTGGATTAGAGCACACCTGTGAATGGAGCCTTGGCCATAAGTCACATCCTGGTCCTTGCCAATGACTTCATATCTGAACTGAAAATCAATAACATATCAACATGGAGGACCAGGATACCAGTTGACTGAAATCCCTATCTAATCCCTAACAATTCCAGATAATGTCTGCTCCTAACTTGACTGCTTGCACATGATTTAAACCAAATCTTTGCTTTATGCTCTACCCAAATTTGTAACTCTGATGTATTGCTTGTAAGAAGATGCCCTGATATTTCTTAACCTGATGTGGTTCTGACAAACTTCCTTGACCATGAACTTGAGGGGAAATGATATCTTTGTGGGAGAGGAGAGCTTCATCCCCAAGCAGTGAATCAGTGGACAAAAGACATTCAGGAGTTAGTTCTGTCTGTAAGCCATTTGTTTGAAAGCAAACTGTGATGAAAATAGAGTTAATGAGAATTATCTTCATGGTTGAATATGTGAATAGTCGCATAGAATATCTTATCGGGGCACATTCACATTGTTCTAAATTAATCTTCATACTTGGGGGCTGGGGTTGTGGCTCAGCAGACCCTGGGTTTGATCCTCAGCACCACATAAAAATAAATGAATAAAATAAAGGTATTGTGTCTAACTACAACTAAAAAAAAATCTTCATACTAGGTATCCTTAAAGGATGAATGGTCCAAAATGAATTCAAAGGAGAGGGTAAAAAGGCAATTAATTTAGGGCTGGGAATATAGATAGCTCAGTTGGTAGAGTGCTTGCCTTGCATGCACAACTTACTCAGTTGTAGTACCCCGAATTGCTGTACATATAAAGTTTCATTTGATGTTTAGTCTTCATTATTTAGTTGTGAACAATGATCCCCAGCACATACACACAAAAAGGGCAATTAATTTACAGGGGGAGAGAGAAACTCGTGGCTATTTCATGGGATATTATTCACTTTAGACAGAGACATTTCATAAAAGCTGGCATTTGGGCCCAACTGGTTTGGGTTAAGGAAACTAGTTTGGGTTAAGGCACATGTGTGCTTCTGTAACAACTGTTTTTTTCTGAGGTCTGGCTGAGCAGCATTATAGCACCCAGTAGTACATCTGTAGTAGATGATCTGTGTGGTTGTGGTTTTGAGGCTGTGAAGCTGACTGGGAGATTCAGATTGTGTGTGCATGTTTGTGCTGTTGCATGGTGTACAGAGGGTAGCTGTGGGTGGGAGGTGACATGAGTAGGTCAGTAGTTGGGTTCCTTGGATCTCCTAAATAGACAATAAATGGGCCATGGAAACAGAATTTCATACCTGCCCTCACGCCAATGACTTCAGGCCTCCATGGACCTATGTCTTCCAGGGATTGAGGGTACGATCTCGGCCCCACACCCAGAGTTCCGGATTGTAAGTTTGAATCTGGAAAGAAAAAGAACCCCCCCAAAAAACTGATGGTTACCCACTCCTTCCCTGTGCAGCCTACAGAGTTTTCTCTGCAGATCCTACCTGCAAACCCCACCTCTCCGTGTCTCTCCAGTCAGCCCATCCCTCTCCCCCCACAAGCACACACAGCACCACCCACCTCCTCACACTCCTCCCTGGAAACCCAAGTGTTCCAGCCCATGGAACGGATGAATTGGTAGCGCAGCTTGTGGAACAAGGGACGCTGGGCGTGGCTCTTCCCATAGAGGAAATGAAAGATGTCTTGTTTAGGAGCCTGGTTGTCCTCTTCCATATCATTGGCCAGGTAGCTGGGGAAAGAAACCAGGTGGCTCCTCAGGGATACAACCAGGAAGGACCTCCTCCTGAGGTCAGATTCCCCCAAAGGAGGCCAGGCTGACCATCTTTAGACAAGACTGCACCATCCCTATCCAGTGTTACGGATGATCATCCCTTGGTCCAGAGGCCCCTGATAGAAGCCTTCTGAAGGGGGCCTCTCTCACACCCTGAGGCTGAAGACAAACCTGATGCTGGATCACCTGATGCTGGATCACCTAAGGCTCCTTCCTGCCACCCACACCCAGTGCAGTTGACATCAGTTTGCACATCTCTATCCTCATCTCCCTCCCTTCAGTTTCTTCCATGTGTTCACATCTATGTCCCCCACCACAGGGGGGGGTGCCCCTCTGCTTGCCTCCCACCATCCCTGATAATGAATCCTGACTGGCTAAGAAGCTAGGAGTGTGAGTGAGCACACCATACCCAGGTAGTATCCAGGCTTGTTCCTGATCCTGGATAATTTATCTAGTCATCCCTTTCCTAGCATTTGGCTAGCAGAGGGTCTGGTTCATATGGTGTATTAATTCAACAAGACATTATTATCTCTGTCTTCCCAAGGTCCCTCTTCCCGGCCACAGAGAATACACTTCATAATGTTCTATTGAACAGATGAATGAATGAAATCTTTATCTATAGCAAATGCCATAATGACCACCTCATAGACTCAATGCTATAAAATAAATTCTTGCAAGATCAAGATCAAGATAATTGATCTGAGTGTCTTAACAATGAATGAATATTTTGATAGGACTCTGTCTTCCTAAGGTGTTCCGTCCAATGGCATTAGGGCAAGGAACAGGGGAGATAAGAAAGTGTAAACTGAAATAAAATATTATGGCCTTAATCACTTCCAGGGTGCAGTAGCTCACTGATCAGGGAGCACAGCACAGCCTGATGTCTTCTTTTGTTTTTCAGACAGGATCTCTCTCTATTGTCAGGCTGTTGTCCTGGGCTCCAGTTTCCTCCCACGCGTGCTTTCTAAGAAGCTAGGAGTGTGAGTGAGCAACACCATACCCATGGAGGTTTCAGTGTTTTAGTTGATTCTAAGGATAGTTCATTTTCTTTAGGTACAAATGTGTGGAGACAGGAAACACAAGGGGATGAGAGAGAAGAGGGAATTTGGAAGGAACAGTGAAAGAAAGTCAGAAGGAATTTAATGGTAAAAGGATTTAATGATGGAGAGAATATAGAGAAGGCTAAATGCCACACGAGGACTCCAGTTTTGTTCTAGAAAGCCATGAGCAACACAGTTGCTGAGGAGGGCTAGGAAAGATTTGGAAAGATTTTCAGGGAATACCTAGAAAACTATGAGCTGAGGGATATCCACAGGGAGAATTTTACAGTGGACCAGTGCTGTGCAGACAAGACCTAAATTTGGCATCTTTCCTGGAAATCCAGAGGCAGAAGATAAATGTTGGTGTAGATGTAGGAAGAAAGAGAGAGTAGTCAGATCACCGCCCCTCCAGACTAGGGACAGGATGTGCTGTTCTTTCCACCTCTCCTCCCAGGTGAACTTTATGTTTCCCTTGATTTCATTTACTCTTTTTAACCTGCCTTAAGGTGGTTTGAGTGTTTGTTTTTAGTTGGAGAATTGTAAGAAAACTGTATTATAATGCTATGGGTTTTTTTTATACCCAGAGCAAAAACAACAGAGGTTAAAAGGCTCCGGTCAGATTAGTGCCCCTCTGCTTTCCTCCCACCATCCCTAATAATGAATCCTGACTGACAGGATGAGGCCAAATACTCACAGGGCCAGAAAGAAGTGGATTCGTCGGTACTGCCAGGAGAAGAGGCCAGCCCGGCTAAAATAAGCTATGACCATAGACAGGAGGTACTGATGGAGAGAGAGGAAAAAACATATGTAGAGATCACACCCTAGAAGGGAAGGAATGTGGGGACAGAGGAATGGGAGGCTAGGGAAGACAGTGCCACTATTCAGAGAATGATGCCTTGTAGCTTACCCAGGGAATGGTATGGGGAGACAAAGTCAGTCAATGGCAAGTCAGAGGAGTCAGGAGGAGGGGTGGCCTAGATATGCACTGGATGGCCATCTCTGGGGAGGCCCTTCTGAGGTAGAACATTTAGGTCAGCTGTGTCAGGGGGGTCTTTGGTAAGCTGGAGAAAAGAGGGTCCCAGAGAGAGCTAAGAGGAGATGATCCAGGAACCTCAGGTTGCAAGCCAAGAGAGGACGGCCATGCAAGACTCTGGCCTCAGGCTCAGAACACAAAGCACCCAAGCGGAGGCAAGGGCCACCTGTCCTCTCTTCAAGAAGCTTCTAGGCTTTGAAGGGAGATGTTAACAAGTCACAAAGGGGCCAGGACCTGGGAGCATCGTGTTGAAGCTATGTGGAAGCGCAGAGGACCAAGGGGTTAGAAAGCCCCCCGCCATCCAGGCTGTGCTGGAGCAGGAACACTGCCCTGTGGAGAACAACCTCACCTTGTCAGACACCCTCAGCTTCTTGTCCCAGGCCAGGAATCTTTTGACAACAGGATCCTCTGTGAACAGAGCTCATGTGTTAGTCTGGAAACCAGAATGGGCTTAGTGGGAGTGAGATAGAGGGGAGGGAATCAGGCCTCCCTTGGAGAATATATATTTAGGGTTGGGGCCCATGTTTAAGGTGGATGAGAAGAGGACAGGAACATTCACCTGCAAGGGACCGTGGCTTAGACCTGAGACTCCACAGAGAAGTAACTTAGTGAGGGTTTAGGTAACAGCCAGGTATCAGTATGATTAAGAACTTAAACCTTGAGGGTCCAGGATTACCTCTGACTGCACCACCTCCTAATTAGAGACTTACGTAGGGCATTTTCTCATTTGATAGTCACATCAGAGTGGGAACTTGGCTTCATTTCCCACCTCTCAGGGATGATGATATTTAAAGCCAGAATGTCAACGAAAGTTCACTTTCAGGGGGACAATTGGAACCAAGCTCTGTGATCCCAAGCAGGGACCTTTTTCAAAGATAGAATAACTTCTGTCATCTAAGGATCTCTGAGGGAAGATGGGTTCTGAGTCCTCCAGGCATGGGGAGTTCAGGGCTAGCAGGGCATCTTTTCCATTGGAATAGTGCAGTGACTATGTGTCATCTTCGCAACTCAGGAGACTGAGGCAGGAGGATCATAAGTTCAAAGCCAGCCTCAGCAATGCAGCGAGGCCCAAAGCAGAGACTCTCTCTCTCAAAATAAAAAACAAAAAGGGCTGGGGATGTGACTTAGTGGTTACATGCCCCTGAGTTCAATATTTAGTACAAAAAAAAAGTACAGTGAGTGGAAGTTTCCTTCTTGTGTTAAGAACTGGACCGGAGGGTGCTAATTGGGGTATCTCCCTACCTAGCATCCTGGCAAAGACTTCATGGTGCTCTGGTTGCACCAGGTATACACGCTGTTTCTTTAACGTCATCTCGAGCCCACACAGGGTCTCCACATCCCAGGGGTGCTTAGGCTCAGGATCCAGATCCTCCAGTTCCTCCTCTGAATCAGATGAGCACTCTCTCTTCCTCTTTTGGCCAGAGAACCCACTCTGGAGGCCAGGTTCTACCCTGGGGTTTGAGTCCAAAAAGCCAGGCAGATCCTCCTCCAGCTCTTCCCCAGAATCTGATGACCATTCTGTCTTCCTCTTCTGGCTCGAGGACTGAGGCAGGCGGCTGGGTTCTACTGTCGGGGCTGAGCAAAGAAAGCCAAGTCAAGCTTCTGTTTGGGGAATTCAGCCTTTTATCATGTACGTCCAAACTACCTCCCGTCAAAAACCCTAACCTCTTCAACTGTTGCTTTCTCCTTTGCTGATGACCATCTGCCCCTGATTCTCCTTGCCATCATCCCATCTCCCTGTTCCTCAAAAACTCTTGCTCATTATGGACACTTTCTCCCATGAAGGGGAGTGATCCTTCCTGTGTTCCCTTCACCAACTTCCTCTGCTTGAATCTCATCTCCTAACCCAGGTTGGATTTCCCCCCCTCTGAGAGTTCCTTTTCAGAGCTCAGTCTGGCAGGAAAGGAAGAAGAATATCAAGGAAATTTGGGGAGAGAAGAAATGATAAGACCTCCCAAGAGGGAGCTAAATAGGTACAAAAGATCACAGGTACACTGAAGAGTGGGCTGGATATGAAAAGACCAGGTTAGGCAAAGTTCTTCTGCTGAATGTTTATTGGCCTTCACTGTGTTCAGTAATCTGTGCTGGGAACACATCCTGTACCCTTAGGCATCCTTGACACCTGGAGACCTGTTGAGGATCTAAAATCATAGAATACTCTATACCTGCTCACCCTCTCTTCAAATAGTGTCTACAGTGTCATGGTGTCTGTGGATCACCTGTAGTCTTCTTCTCAATTCTAATTATTCTCTATAGTCTATCTAGCTAATTTTGGTATACCAGTATTGCTCTTGACCTAGAAATTCACTACCACTTATTTTCCCTAAAGAACACATCACATGTATAAAGAGACTAATGGAAAAAATCTCCCATGAAAGACAATATTTTTTTCTGAAAAGCCAGGGGGAGTGCATGGGATGTGACACAGCACCCAACAGGACTGGGGAACTCTTTCTGAACCTCCTACTCAGTCTTCTGCTTTCCTGCTGGATAGTCGAATCATGCTTTATGCTTCTGACCAAAACAGTGAGTTAAGTATATACAAAATGTACTATTTTAACCACTTTAAAGTGTAGAGTTCAGTGGCATTAAGTATAGCCATGTGTTGCTCAATGATTGGGGTATGTTCTGAGAAATGTGCTGTTAGTTGATTTCATAGTTGTGCAAACATGATAGAATACTCAACTGAGATGGCTGTGACATCACTGTGGGATATCATGTGATGGAACCAATTTGTGTAACTCCCCAATTCTGCTCCCACAGCTCCTGCTAACCACCATTCAACTTTCTGTCTCTATAAATTTGACAACTCTCTGTACCGCATCTGTCTTGCATACTGTGGACTCATACAGTATTTGCCCCTGTGTAATTTTCCCCTGATTATTTAACTTTGAGAACTATTCTAAGACCCTACATTGCTGGAGGGTGGGTCAGAATTCTTTCATAAGGTTGAATAACAGTCCCATGCATGTTAGGCTACATCTTTTGTACATCTATTTATCCCTCAGTGGACATTGGGTTATTTCCACATTTGGATTCTAAGTCTTTCTTTTGCCAGTGTTGGACCATATTGACAAGAAGCACATCTGTTATTCATGCTGTGCTGGAAGTTTCATTTTGTATTTTAATGTCTTGCATGATGCTAATGAACCCAGGCCAAACAGGAGTAAAGTCAAGTTAGTTCATGGAATGTGCTGGGAGTGAGCGTCCACCTTGTTTGGCTGTCATGGATGTTTGGCGTTGGATGAGGTTCCAGAGATCTTCCACATGACATGCAAGTTCCCTGGCAGCTCCCTCACAGGCCTGTGCTGCCCACTGAATTTCTCCCTGATGGGAAAAATACTGTGTGTCAGGAAGCAGGTCCTTCTACTGTAGGAGACAAATTGACTGGCTGCTCTGTTTATACAATTTCCATTCATGATGCCTTCAACCCTCAGAGCTGATTGGGTCCTCCCATAGAAAATTAGAAGTTCACACACTCCTTTTTTACTAGAAAGTTTTCAAGTACAGTCATGTGCCATGTGACAATGTTTTGATCAATGATGGACCACATATATAACGATGGTCCCACAATATAAGATATTGCCTAGCGACTTAGGAGACATCATAGCCTCTGTAAGTACATTCTGTGACTTCCCACGTGATATATTGACTCATGGCACATTTTCACTCTTTATCCTCCTCGTTAAGTGTTGAATGACTATTGAATCAATATTCTGTTATCACTAAAATTTCTTTTCTGGACCATGAAGATCCTGATTATTTTTACCAGGATTCCAGTTGTAGTTTGATATTCCTGTCTCTGCTGGCCACCTGGTGTAGACATGCTTACAATTAGGCAGCTCCCATTCTTAATAAATGTGGGTACTTTGGCCAAAAATTAAGTAAACTGCCCAGATAATGTCTGATATGGACCATTGCTTCTCCACTTCTGTTTTCCTCCTGTGGATGCAGTCAGATACAACAATGACTATCATTGCTCAATGCATTGGAGAGATAAGAGGATAAGGTCACAGGGAAGAACACTACACTACAGATGCTGCTGGCACCTAGCCTTAAATATTCTTATTGAATGGACTGAGACACCACCCAACTTAACATTTTCATTGTTATAATTTCAGATTTCAAATCTCTGGTTTGAGAAGGCCACAGAACTCCTCTAAAGAAATCAAAATCAATACAGAAGGAAATGACCAGGAAACATTTTTGTGGGTAGGTAAGGTATGAACAGGGCCCTTCAGGGCAAGACTATGACAGGCCTACCCTGATTGGACCCTCTGAACCATTCTGCAGTCTTCTTATTGGGTGACAGCCCCCTTGCTTGGCCCTGGAGTCCGTGTGAATAGGAAAATTTCTCTCACCTTCCCTTAACCTTTGGTGACTCAAGGTCTCTGGACTTTGAGGAGAACTATCCCTTCTGTCATAAAACTAGTGAAATCCTTGGGAAAAAAGAGAATGAAAGGCAGATTTTTGCTTCTTCTGCTCAACATGGATTCACAGGATCCCAGCTAAAACAAATTTTAAAAGAGGGAAAATATATGGAATAGCAGTCTTTAGGAATTTAGTTCCCTGAGAGGTAATTCCATCTTATTCGTTAGATAAAAAGTTTCCAATTCACAGAGCAGGAGGGGCTTTGGGGGTGCCAGCATTGTCCCCGAGCAGAAAGAACAATGGGTAGAGTTGGGTATCTAGGGAGACATGGCACCTGGAGGTCACAGTGCAGAGAATCAGAGAAGTATGGTTCAGAGGCTCCCATGCTTGAGCTTTGTGAAGTGGGTGCACAGTTGGAGGTAAGAACTGAGGCCTTGGCTGATTCCAGTTCCAGTACTCTTCCCCATGTGGTTTCCTAGATGTAAATAAGTGTGGCTTCCATTCTCTACATGATGCCAAGAGGCACCCAGAGAAATGTTTTCTGGAAGTTGGACTTACAGTCTCTGTGTCAGCATTGTCAACTTCATTCCTTAGTTAGGACTTAGACCCAGGTCATGCTGAGCAGCAGCAAAGGCTGGCCAAGTTCCCAGCACCCCCAATCCCTTCTAGACTGCAGAACTGGACAAGCTCACATTTGTGCAGGATGAGTTGAATGCTGTAGAAGAGCTGCAGGCACGAAGATATCAAGATGGGTTATATGCCCATTCATTTGGATGAGCTAGTACTTACTATTGAGGTAGTAGGATTTAGATGGCATGACACACAATGGCAGACTGCACAGCCTAATGATCCATGTGGTTACCTGCAAAGGGATGGCTATTTAATACAAGGTTTTGCCACTGTTTTAAAGCATAGGAAAGTCATGGGGAATTCAATGACTGACATGATAACACTCTATAAAGGCATGGGATAGCATATGGACGAAATGCCCAGATTCTTAACCTGAGCATGCTCTATGACTTTGTGTGCTGCTATAATAATATATAGTTTCCAGCTGTGGATATGGACAAGTTGAGAGCAAATGTCAAGTTGTATAAAGCATAAACTTGATGAGGATTTTTATACACTTTGGACCATTGATTATTAATAGAATAATCTTAATAATCAGAAGGGGATAGGTGGAGATAGTCACAGGAACTTTTATAACCAGCAAACATTATATTTATTGGCCATTCCATACCAGATTACACCAGCCTCTGGTCTGTTTTCTCCTTGGGGCTGAACTTGTCCTGCTGGCAGTTTTCATAAGGTCCTGAGGCTCACCTCCCCTGAACTGTCTCTACCCTCCACTCTTTAGCATAAGTAACCCATCAGATCCCAGCATGGAGGCAGGAAGGGAGGATGGAGAATTAAATTTTTCAGCTAATCTTGAATGAGAATATTTATTCATGGAAGGACCTAGAGACCTTTATTAAGTTTGTATCTGGAAGATCATCTGAAGATTAACGTGTTAAAGCCTTGTTCCCCAGCATGGTACTTGTATGAAGTGGGGGACCTCTATAAGGTAGAGCCTAGTGGAAGGAAATAAGTCACTGGGCTGAGCTGAGCCCTAGCATGGGATTGCTGGATCCCAACTCTTTTTTTTCTTTGCTCTTCTACACAATGCCCACCATGCTGTGCTCCTCACAGCCCCCAAAGCAATGAGTCAACTTATCCTCTTTTTAGGTTGATTATTTCAGGTATTTTGTTCCATGAACAGAAAGATGACTAAGTAATTAAAAAATTATTTTTTCAGGGAACCTGTATAGAGACAGAATTCACAGACATTTGACCAAGAAGAGAAGAACTCAAGTGTGTATGTGTGTGTGTGTGTGTTGCTGGGGATTGAACCCAGGCTATATCCCGAGCCCCAGAGAAGAACTCAATTTTAAGTAAGACTCCATTATAAATGTTGGATGTTTAATTCAGATTCTGAATGAAAATTGCTATTTACTTCATGAGAGTGATTCTCATCCTATTTGATTGTGTCAAAGCTAGAGCAGAGAAAGGAGGGATTAAATTACACTGAGATGCCAAATGTGACTTGGCGAATATCAAGTTTTTAAAAGACTCACTGTTCAGAATTTTGCATGTCCATGGTCAGAAGCTTTGATTTTTTTCAGACCTTGATTTTTTCCATCTTTAAAATAGGGACGACAACAATGTCTACCCTAAGGACTTCTGTGAGGAGCCAGTGGGTTACAACATTTAAGGCATAAGAAGACCACCTAGAGACTATGTTCCTACCAGGGATTTTCTATTTGTGGTGGGGGTATTGCCAAAATTTTTAATTCACTTCCTTTCTAATTTTAGGGTAGAGCTTCACTTCATGGATTTCTTGTACTTGGGTGAAACTAAGTGACTAATTCCTGCCTGAGAGTTGGGAATGGAAATCATGAGCTTAGCTTTCAGGGGAGAGTAATCCATTTCGGGTATGACAGGTGGAAAAAGCCCTGTTCTCTCTCTGGACACCAAGGTTTGAGATGATGGCCATTTCATCAGGCTATGTCCCTCAAGCATCCAAAGATTGACTGCCTGAACATCCACTGTTGACATATGGTGTGCCCAAGGACTACACATTTGTTGTTAGAAGCCACACATTTATTCAAACACATGAACATGCTCACATGCATACACAAAATCACTTACATACAAACATGAACACATTCCCATATATATACACGACCTGCTCCTAAACTCACAAGCACACTCAAATTAACATACTCACACATGAATACATCATTCATACTTAACATTATTTTCATAACCTAGTGTGGTTAGTCTGTTTTTGCTACATGACAAAATACCTTAGACAATTATCTTAAAAGAAGGAAAGGTTTTTTTGTTTGTTTGGTTGTTTGATTCATGGGCTAAGAGGTTTCAGTCCATGTCACTTGATCCTGTTTTTTTGGGCCTATGGGTGTCCAGTATATATATTATTGCATGTGGCATAGGAAGTCTGTTTACCTCTTGGCAACCAGGAAGCAAAGAAACAGGAAGGGGCCAGGGTCCAAATATCCCTTCAAAGGCATCCATACACTTAACTATCTCCAAAAGCAAGGCCTCACCTCCTAACATATCTACTGCATCCCAATAGCACCTCAGGTTGGGGAGCTAGGTCCTGCAGGGGCTCGGACCTAGGATATAGATTCAGGATCCTAGCAGTGGAAGAAGATGTGAGGTGCAGTTGGGACAGTAGACATGTTTTATCCAAAGATGGAAGCATCCTTGCCCCAAGTCTTTCCATAGACTGTTTTTATATGCAGGCCAAAGAAGGCACAGTGCCAACAGGTTACATAGGTGAATGCATACAGCAGATATTTATGACCTTGAGTCCATATGCTGAATCAGGGTCATAAAAGATACTCATGACCTTGACTATATACTAAGACAACTGGCTGAAAGTCTCAGTGATGGAGCCTAACTATAGCCACCTTGGGTCTTCCATATACAATCCTTCATTACATGGGCCATTGAGGAACACTCCAGATAGAAACCATTGCACTTTGTCCATTCTGATTTTAAATCATTACAGAAACTCAAAGTTTTTCAAATTGAGAACTGCTGGATTTTTTCAGGTGATATCTGTCAATCAGCCCAAGTTATCTTATGGAGACTGGCTAGAATACATCTGCTGTAAAAGGGGATTACAGGGAAAACAGTATTGTATGACACAAGTATCATCAATAGTAAAGTTCCACTGGCTCTTAGCAAGGTGAGCTTCTGGAGCCGCAAGTCTGTGATTGTGCGTGTATGGTGTCTGTCTCATTCAGCATGAGTTTTTCCGTGTGTGGAAATGTTTTTCAACCTAAAAAATCAAATGTCGTTTCTCTTGATTCCTCCTTTACCAAGAATATAGATGGAGTGTTGGACTTCTGTGTGTTGTTTCTCTTTGGAAAGTGTTGAGAGTGTTGTGGTTAAGAGAAGCAGATGAGTAAAGAGAAATAAAACAATTCAGAAGTAATAGATTATAATCAGTCTCATTTTCAATTGTTTGATCTTTACTTAAACCTAACTACATCTCATCTTTTTTCTCCACAAAGCAAATCTAGTCAGGTTTTGAATCCAGGTTTGGGAGGTTTGATAGCAGAAGCTCAGAAACTTGGATCCATTTCACAAATCTCTGTGAAATCAGGTGAACAAAGACCATCATTGTTCAACAGATACAGAACGCAGCATTATGATCTTATCAGTGGAATTGTTTGGAGGGAATTTGGCAACAAATATGAAATATTATCTGAAATATAAAAACTAACAGTGAAAAAGGAGAAATTATCAGAGACTTATGCTGACGTATTATTTGGGTGACATATAAAACTAAGAATTATGAACAAACAAACATAAGTGTCAGTGAATTAATAGAACAAGCGCAACAAACAAAGAGATGTATGTTATGTCATAAGATAAAGTTCAAGACTGTGAGTAAAAGAAACTTTACCAACTTGTTTGGGAAATGGATTATATTAGAAAATATGAAAAGTTAATAACAGTTAATATAAAAAATAATAATGATTGATTTGTATCCCAGAGTGGATACAAACATGAATCCAAACCAAAACCACCATAAGAAATCATTTCACTGAGGATGGCTATGTTAATATTACTCAAGGAAAATAACACATTTTGGAAATGATGCGGAGAAACTGAAACTCCCTTAACATTGCTGGTGGAAATTCGAATGGAACATTTTGGTGGTTATTCAACAATAACCACCATGTGATCCAGAAATTCCACTTCTGTGTATATACCCCAAAGAATTGAAAGCAGGTACTTAAAACAAAGATCTGTACACAGATGTTCACAGCAGCATGATTTACCATAGCTAAAGAGAGGAAACTAAACAAGTGTCCATCAGCAGATGAATGCAGAAACAAAATGAGTGTTATCTACGGGACAGAATATTGTCAGCCTCAAGATGCTGGTATGCACTGATGTACAGATATAGAAATAAAGATAGATATCGTATGTATTTATTGTCTCTCAGCTACAAATTCACCTTCTTTGCTTGCTCTGTGATTATGGAGTTGGTCCTTGTAAATCTCTCTCCTTTTACAACAACAATGCTAAACCTTGACTGGAGGGAATGCTGGGGGAAATATGGAATCTGATTCATTATCAGAAATTATTTCTTTTTGTTAGGCAAGAAAACTGCACTCAGAAAGTTGTGTGAGTCACACAGCAATACATGACAACTGGAGCTGAAGTGTGTGCCTGTTTCTGGGGTTTCCCTCTTCACCTGCTTTACATCTTCCTTCTAAGGTGGCCCCTCTCTACTCTCTCCCAGATGAGAGCACACATCTGGAAATCCTCATTTCAGAGCCTGGTTTTCTTTCCCATTCCTCACCCTGACCTGTTGCCCCATCTTGGTTCCCTGCTGGCTCATCCTATGTGGATCTCTATTCCAGCTCCTGAACAAGGACTTATGTTTCTATAGCATCTGACACACCTGCATTGGTGAGCTGAGTGCAGGTGTGCTCTCTTGGCTCAAGGAGGCACTGGAGTGGGGTCAAAGGTTTAACCCACTTATCTAGATGGCCAGTGGCAACTCTTAGTATGGAGAATGTGACACCAATCATCACCTACTTAATACCCTACAACTTGTAAGTTTCTAAGGTAAAAAAGGAAAGCAAATCACAGAATAGTTCCTGACTTATCCAACACCATAAAGACATTCTCTAATAAAAACCTAGTGGGGTATGTGGGATTTGATTTTTTTGCCCCATCTAAAGAACATGTAATATTACTTTATGTTGTAATTTTCTTTTAAAACCCCTTCTGGAGTAGTTTGTAATTATGACATAAATGGATTTATTATTTAGATATTTTTGGGAAAGTGCATCTTTATATTAAAATATATTGTGTTGGTTATCCTGAGTATGTTATTATTTTTATTAACACCTTTTATTTTACCATATTCTTGGACATTGTTATTAGCATATTATGGTGTTTTTTTTTTTTTAAAGATGGGACTGGAGGTGTGGCTCAGTGGTAGAGTGCTGGCTGATCTGGGTTCCATCCTCAGCATTGTAAATAAAGAACTTAATAAATAAAAGATTACATTGTGCTTGTTGACAAAAGGTACAGATTGTCTCTCTTCTCCCTTTTGTAGAGGTTCTCCTT